GGTCCAAGGCCCTCCTTGGCTGGCCTCATTGCAACAATATTTCCCTCTGCCTCTCTTCACTGACTCTTCCATCCACTCAAAATCAGGCTACTTTGTGTCCTAGCCTGGCTCCAGGGTCCCAGCATCCTCCCACCTGTGCCATCTTCTCTCAGCCCACCTGGCCACATCAGCCATCCTGCGCCTTCCTGTTCTCCAGCTTCCATCTGCTCCCGTGCTCTGCATTTAACATTGCCCTCTCTACCTCCTCCTATGCTCATGGCTGCTCTTCTCAAGAAGGTTGTGAGCACACATAGGAGCAAACTGACCAATCCGCACTCCACAGCCCGACCCCCTGCTCTATGGGGCTGTCACACTCCAGGCCACCATTCCCCTGCCTTAACCAGCCCAGAGCCAGGGACCAGACACCTAGGTACAGCCCTAAAGCCCAGAGCCCACTGGAATTACTTAAACTAGCCAATCCTACACCTGCTTAGCCCACCTTGCCATTCATTCCCTTGGAAAGCACAGTAAAGGCCTTTGCCAGGTATCCCTGACTGACCCCCATGTGTCCCCAAGTGTCCCCCCCCTCCTGTGCTGTGGCCTACCTCTTCTCTTGAGATCTGTGCATATAACAAACTCTCTTTTCAATAGCAGTCATCTCCTGATCTGTTGGCCAAACCATCCCTGAATAATAATAAAACTTAATTGTAAAATTATTGTGTCCAAGGGACAGAGGGCAGCTCTGGTCCTGTGGGTCCCAGCTGATGAGAGCCAAGTGTGATCATGTGGCAAGTCCTAGAGGATCCCTGCTCTGTGGCCCTGGTGGCTGAAGTCGCACCCTTTGTGACACTGCCAGGTTGGGTCAGGCTGGGCTGAAGCTGGAGGGTGCTGGCAGGGGCCCCTCACGCACCCACTCCAGGGGGGCTGCAAGTTGGTTGTCTGCTCAAGTCCATAAAGGCCCAAAGCAACCACACTCGCTGTTCAGCTTTGCACCCGGCCAGTGACAGCTGAGCACTGCTGTGGGTGGACACAGCCCCTCCTTCATGGGGCACCAAGGGAGGGCAGCCCACGCAGCTACCCCACATCTGTCTCAGCAGCCTAGGGCTGGGGCTGCGTGTCTGTGTTGACTAGGAGAGGGGACCCAGGTGAGAGCAGCCTGGATTTGTAGCTAGAATTCCTCCGTTCCAGTCCAGCCCACCCTGGCCAGGCTGATGATCCTGCAGATGGCCATTGGATCTCTATTTTGTTTCCACATCTGTAAAATGGAGCAATTCTCCTCAGTGCTCTGCATGACAGGGTTACAGAAGACCAAAACGAAAATGTGGAGGAAAGGCCTTGGCAACAGAGAAAAGGGGCTGGTTTTAATCTTATTTCCAGTAACTCATGATGGCTTTGCAGGTTTGCTTTTGTAACTACAGCCGAATTGTTATTCACTTAAAAGTTTAACACTCAGTTAAATTCACTCTTTTTAGTATATATTCCTAGATGTACAGTTGTGCAGCCGCCAGCACACTAAGATCCAGAATACCTGCCCCACACCAAATATTCCCTTATGTCTCTCTTTGAAGTCAACCCCTTTCCTCACTCCCACGCCCTGACAACCACTGCTTTGTTTGCTATCCCTATAATTTTGCCTTTTTCTGAATGTTGCATAAAGGAATCACACAGTATGTGGCCTTTTGAGACTGGACTCTTTCACTTAACGTGCATTCGAGATTCATCCGAGCTGTTGTGTATATCTGTGCTCTGTTTCTTTTTATTGTTGAGTAGTATTCTATTGTCTGGATGGATCACAGTTTGGCACAAGGGATTTTCACCAGTTGAACGACTTTTGGGTTATTTCCAGTTTGGGGCAATTATGATTAAAGCTACTATAAACATTTATGTTCAGGGTTTTGTATGAACATAAGTTTCATTTAACTTGGGTAAACACCTAGGAGTGGAATTGATGAGTCATATGATAGATGTATGTTTAACTATGTAAGAAACCTCCTACCTGTTTTCCAAGGCGCTGTTCCATTGCCATTCCCACCATCAATGTCCCCTTCCCGACACTTGGTGTTGTCAATTTTCTTTCTTTTTTTCTTCTTAGTCATTGCAACAGGTGTGTATGACCTTGAAGTTTAAGATGAGGGTGGTGTATTAACTTGCTAGGGTTGCCATAATAAAATACCATAGAATGAGTGGCTTAAACAACAGAGATTTATTTTCTCAGTTCTAGAGGCCAGAAGTCCAAACTCAAGGTGTTGGCAGGGTTGGTTTCTACCGAGGCCTCTCTCCTTGGCTTGTACGTGGCCGCCGTTCCACTGTTTTCACATGGGTGTCCCTCTGTTTGGGGATGTTTCTGTTGTCTCTCCATTTGTCCAAACTGCCGCTTCTTATAAGGACACCAGTCATATTGAATTAGGGCCCAATCTAAAGACGTCATTTTAACTTAATTACCTCTTTTAAATATCTTCAAATGCAGTTAAATTCGAAGGTACTGAGAGTTGGGACTTCAACATATAAATGTGGGTGAGGGAGTGACACGATTTAGCCCATAACATATGGTGTATGCACCTCTCAGCCCAAGAACACAAAGTGAAAACACAAGTAAGCGAGTGGCCTTTATGTAGGGAAGGTAGAGAAAATTCCTTAAGTCCATATAGCTCAGAGTGGGGTCCATCACCTTGGGACAAAGTGTGGAAGCATCCTTCTATCAGATGTGTGTGGAAGGCACAGGCTACACAATGAAACCCCAGCGCTCGTCCCAACTCTGCCACTTCCTGGCTACAGAACCTTGAGTGGGTCACCTCTTCTCAAAGACACACTGAGTGTAACAGGAGGGAGAGCAATAATGGTCTTGGGCCTGGTGGTGAGGTGTTAAGAGGATAATTCTTGTGTAGCAGTTCCACCAGCTGACATTTGTGAGAACTACAACTTCCTTTATTTTTTTCTAATTTATTTTTGCTTCTTTTTAGCTGAGCTGTAGGGAAACTTCTGGCATTTTCCCCACCTCCTGGGGTTTGTGTTAAAGTCTAAGTGCTTAGTAAATGTCAGCAGTTGGATTTAAAGATTCAAGGTAAAATTGGCTACTGGAGACTCAAATGTGCTCATAGATTTGTACGTGATTAGAAACCGTCAAGTGCTGCAGAAAGTCGCCATTGGGATTATTTGCCAAAGGTCTCAGATGTCTCCACCACCCTGCCTCCTTCCATGAATAAGTTCACCCGCTGTTACAGACTGAATGTTTATCCCCCTCTAAATCCTAACCCCCAGGGTGATGGTATTAAGAGGTGGAGCCTTTGGGAGGTGACTAGGTCATGAGGACGGAGCCCTCATGAATGGGATTAGTGCCCTTTTAAGAAGCCACACGAGAGCTTCCTCTTTCTGCTGCTGCCAGGTGAGGACCCAGCAAGACAACAGTCATCTGCAAAACCAGGAAGGGGGACCTCACCAGAATGTGACCATGCTGGCGCCCTGATCCCAGACTTCCCAGCCCTCAAAACTGTCAGCAATACATTTCCGTTGTTCAAGACACTCAGTAAATGATAATTTGTTATAGCAGCCTGAACACATACTCTCTTCACCTGCATTTCTCAAGGAAATATATATATGAGCAAGAACCACCCCTGTCCTAGAGGACTTAGTGTGGACCAGGGGTGGCAAGGTGGGTAGAGACATAAGCAAACAGCAAGATAGAGTGAGATCTTCTCACCCCAGAAAAAACCAGGTGAGGCTGTGAGCGATCTTAGAGAAGAGTGATTTCAGCAGGGGTGAACTGAAAGCAGAGCTACTCCTTGAGCACCTCTAGATAACAGAGAGTATTAAAGGCAATCGAGGCAACATGGACGAAGGTGGGGAGGTGGGGGAGGGAAGAGCACACACAGAGAACCAGGGGGGAGACATGTTTGGTAAGAAGGGAAATGGAGAAAGAAAGACCAAGAAGGAAGCGGTGGCACGAGTGCCAGGTCAGGCAGGTGTCTGGACACTTTCTCAGGCAACAGTAACCAAAACCAGTTTTTACGTAGCAATGTTCCCCACCTACGTTGGGTTTTTGGAAGCTAACTCTCTGGCATCTAGGAGAGTGGACTAAAGGGAGAACAGCTTTATGTAGGTGGCCCAGATGGAGGGGATGCCAGTGGTTCAGAGAAGAGGAAAGGGGAGCCAGTCCAGGTGGAGGTGGTGGGGACAGGGATATCGGGGAGGTGGAGGAGGCTGGCCAGGGCTGGAACGTGGGTGGGGAGAAAGAGGGCAGAGCTCCAGAGGTTCCTTTGCTGTTGTATTCTTTTTCTATTGCTGCTGTTACAAATTCCCACAAACAATATGTCTTAAAACAACACCAGCTTACTATCATACAGTTCTGTAGGTCAGAATTTCAACAGGTCTTGCTGGTCTATGGTCAAGGTGTCACAGCCTGCGTCCCATTCAGGAGGCACTAGGGGAAAGTCCCTTTCTTTGTTCCTGTCCAGCTTCTAGAGGCTGCCCACCCTCCACTTCCCATGCCCCCTTCTTCCATCTTCAAAGCCAGCGACTCCCTAGCGCTCCTTCTGCAGTCACATCTCCCTCTGACCCCAGGAAAATGCTTTCTGATTTTAATGCGCATGTGGTTAGAGTAGGCTCATCTGGACAGTCCAAGATAATCTCCCCATCTCAAGGTTCTTCATTTAACCACATCTGCAAAGTCCCCTTTGCCACGTGGGGCCACAGTCACAGGTTCCAGGGACTAGAATGTGTATATTTTCAGGGACGTTATGTTGCCTACCACATTCATTTAGTCACAAGCTCTAAATCCAGGCAGGAACACCTCTCCCCTGCATGCTGCTGCCTCGTTCCTTTGTCCTCTCTAATAATCAGACTCTGAATTTCCGGACTAGACCCCTTTCTCCAGGCACTCAACCCAAGCAGCAAGCTCCAAACCCATCTCTCTCCAGCTTCTCCTTTTCCTCCTCCTAAATAACGTGATTTTTTGCCTCCTTCCCCTTCTCTCAGCCTCCTGCTCTCATCCTGACCTGTCTCTGCCCACATTTCCCCCTCCCCAGACTGGCAGCTGCCGCCAAGCCCCCGGCTCTTAGTGATGAACCTTCAGACGTCTGGAACATGAAATGAACTTCCTTGGCGAGCTTCTCTGCACCCCGAGGACGGCCTCCTGCAGACACGCCCAGGCCAGCCCCTCCTGCCCTTGCCTGGGTGGGGTCATCACTCTAACAGGTACTCGGCACTCGGGGACCTGCCACATGCAGAAGGGAGGCTCTCTCCATCCCCACACAGCTGCTGCCGCCTCCCAGGCTTGGAGGACTCAGTGTCAGCTCCAGAACTCCCAGCATTCAAGAGTTCTTAACTGGGGAGACTATTTCCTCACAACGAGAGTAGGGCTCCTGTCTGTCAAGTGAGCCTGATCGGAGCATGTTTTATTTCTCAAAGCCACAGGAGCAAGAAGTGTAGAATTAAAGCCAACAGCTTAGCCCTGACCACAATATTGGGTTGTGTTTGTCCCCAGACTGTACACAAACGTGCCCTTCCCTTGCACACGGTAGTGCCTGCCAGGGCCGCATTCCGAGCCCTTGCAGTCAGCTCAGCCAGAGGTGGCAAAACAAACACACACGGCGATTCTGCCGAGAAGAGCTGCCTGGGGCGTCTGGGCCAAGATTTTATTTGAAGAAATGTGGGAGAGTTTGTGGCACTCTCTCCAAATTTCCTGCAAACACAGCATTCAGGGCTGGGAGAAATGGATGGGCACAAGCCACCCCTGCAGAGCCACCTGCCACCTTGCTCCTATAGGGGCCCTGAGCTCCAAGCTAACCAGGCACCTGTCACAACCCACAAGCCTGGCCTTCTCCCCCCCCACAGCTCTGCTCACCCCCTTTCCCTCCATGCTGTTCTATACCCCTCTTCTGACACTGTGGTCTTCCCGGTCCAGTGCTGGGTAACAGGGACCCAGAGATGAGGAAGAGACCAAGCCAGTATCTTGGGACCTCACAGCCCAGGGGAGAGACTTATACAGACCATTATGATGCAATGTGCTAAGGGCCAAGATGGTGGGACACAGCCTGGAGGGGAGAAAGGCAATCAGGGGAGGCTTCCAGAAGGAGAGATCTGAGCAAAGGGGAGGCTGGCCAAGCAGAGGGAATGGAGGGAATTGTAGGCAGGCAGGGAGGCGGCCGGGGGGTGGGGGAGGGGTAGGATGGAACATTACCTGGACACGATTCTACTGTGGGTCTTGTCACCTTCAAACCCAATAACTCAATATACATGCAGCTTTGTATAGGCCCCTGGTGTATGCAGCTCTGCATAGCAATGTGTTCATCTGTCTCCTTGGCAGAACTGGACTCTGTGTGTGTGCGTGCACACATGTGTGTACATGTGTATTGAGAGAGACAGAGACAGAGAGAGAGAGAGAGAGAGAGAGAGAGAGAGAGATCTCTACTCTCCTACCCTCTGTGCTGTCCCCAGAGTACTCCCCTTAAAGCTTGTTGAGCAAATACCAATGACTATCTCTGCAGTAAAATGTAGATAATCATGGCATTAGCCTCAAGGGTTCCTGTGGTGACCATGTCAAATGACAGATACATGCAAAGCATTCAGCAAGCACCTGGCACACAGAAAGTGCTAAATAAGTGGTAGCTTTATTATTCTTGGTGGTATTCTAAAGCTCCCAGAGCCACTGTGCCAAGGCACTGGCTGGGATTCAGGAGGCTCCAGGGCACAGTGAAAAAAATCTCCCATTTGAAGGCCATGTCCTGGGAGTGAGTCCTGCCCTAGCTATACGACCTCACGCTGGTGCCCAGGAGGAGCCAGGTCTTCTGTGGAGCGGCCGGCCAGCCCTGATGTTCTTGGAGCACTCCCAGAACAGTGCTCTACCTCCCCACTGCTTTCTCCCCAAGAGTCCCAGTCCCCCATCAGCCCCTGCTTTGGAGTCATGGTTGCTGGGCCCAGGCACTCCCCACCCTGGCTTCCTCCACACACCCACCCCCAGCGTGGCAGCAGGTAGCTGCAGGATTAACAGCTGCCTTTCCCCACCTCGCCTCTGCCCTTGGAGGTGGGGCCTGAGCCCTGGCGCTGCTCCATGGGGGCTCTCAGCGCCCTCTCACCTCGCTGCTGAGTGTCTTCCTAAAACCCACAGACACTGAAGAGCTACGGAGTCCGCAGGGAAAGGCTGCGGCAGGTGGGACCCAGGCAGGCACCGAGCCTGACACCTGTCCATATGTACTTTTGGAATCCTGGATCCAAATGCCAGCATTGCCCTTCCAAGTCACAAAACCCTGGACAACTCACTCAACCTCCCAGAGCCTCTGTTTCCCAACTATCAAATTGGGAAAATAATAGTGCTTGTCACCCTGGGTTGGTGACTGAGAATTACATGATGATTGCCCTCAGCCCAGTGTCTGGCCTGGCTATAAGTGTTTTCTTAAAAAGGACCATGAGAGCCAGGGGTGGTGGCTGACGCCTGTAATCCCAGCTACATGAGAAGCTGAGGCAGGAGGATCACTTGAGACCAGGAGTTCAGGAACAGCCTTGGCAACATAGGGAGACCCCTATCTCTAAAAAAACAAACAAATAAACAACAACAATAAAACCCCCATGCAATTAGCTGAAAGCCACCATTCAAGTTATGGAAGCAGAGTGCCCGAGATGGGCCATCTCTCGAATCACAACAAGTGTCTGTCTTTACAGACTGGCGTGGGGACTCAGGAAGGTAAGAGACATGAAATAGACCAGAGAAGATGCCAGCTGGGCCTGCAGGAGAGCGAGGCTGCAAATGTGGCACGTGGGTCTTGAAGCACCCAGGCAGGGGAGGAGGTGTGTGCCTTCAGCGTGGAGGAGAAAGAGCCTGGCCGTGGGCTTCCCCAGGAGGGGAACCCTGAGGCTCGCCCAGCTGCAGTGCAGAGCACCGGGCACTGGGGAAGCTCAGAGGCAACTTTTTATCTGACCCACATGGTTGGGGGCCCAGCTGTCCACAGAAAGTTCAGGAACTACTTGCCAGAGATGAGACTCACATTGGACGCATGGTGGCTTGAGCAGCAATCCAGTTCCACTCCAGGAAACGGTATGTGGCTGAGATGGTTCAGGGACCCCTGGGAGGCCGTGCTGGGAGCCAAGTGTTTGCTGTGATCACTTTCGTGATTGGAACCACTGACCCCCACATGCTGCCTCTCTGTATTCCCACTTTGGGGGAGCTGCTCTTTTCCTCTTTCCTGTGACTTTTGTGGGAGAGGACCCTGGCTGCCTTGACTTGACCCTGAAGGTCAAGGAGGAACAAGGGCAGATTCAGCACCAGGGAGAGGAAAGGAAGCCTTGATTCTCAGGGGCCACACAAGGGTCTTAGGGTGAAGCCCATGGGAGCCCCAACTCAGAAAGCCTGCCCAGCCCCTGGCACAACTCCCTCTGGGGCCCCAGACTGTGGAGGGGACACGGCTGGTTAAGGCAGCAGGGGTTTCTCATCCAGGTCTTGGCCAATTTGCTGCCACCACAGGCACGATTTGGAGTGACAGAAGGTGCGCTGCAGACACAGGAGGCGGAGGAGGGGTCCAGGGAGAAGGCTGGGTGGTGGCCTTCCCACCCTTTGGGTCACTGCTCAGTGCCACCTCCTCTGAAAAGCCTTCCTGCCCCAGATTTTTCCATCGCCAAGGGCTGCTTCTTCCATGGCGCTCATTACCATTTGTCATTTCATATTTATTGGCTCCTTTGTTCTCTAGAACAGAAGCAGCTCCTGAAGGCAGGGCCTGGTGTGCCTGGGCTCTGCTGTATCCCTGACAGATCGCTAGAGGGCGCAGAGGACAAAAGGCTTCAGAGAAAGGCCTGGGCATTGACGTTCTGGGGACAGGAGATGCAGGGACAGAGTTTTGTTCTGCAAAGTTGAACCTGGCAGCAGAGTGGGGAGAGCCTGGAGGCCAGGAGACAAGCTCAGAGGCCGCTGCCATGAGTCATCTGTGCCTCTGAACTGGGGAGGGGCCTTGGCCCGCCAGAGAGGAGACGGGAGCATCTTCCAGCCCGTAGCTCCAACTTGGAGGGGCTGTGGATGGTGGAGGGGGTGCTGCTGGAAGCCACAGCACATTTCGTTTCCATTCATTAACTGGGTAGTGCCATTACCTGGGGGGATCGGGCTGGGTGGAGTGAGACTGGAGCAGTCAGAACATGTGCTTGAAGCTACTGCAATTCTAAAAAGAATCATAGTCTATGGCCATACCACCCTGAATGTGCTCGATCTCATCTAAAAAGAATCATAGAGACACATTCTCACCATGGAGGTTCACCCTACAACACTGGGGCTGTGACTTGCTTTCAAATTCCAAGACTTCCCTTGTCCTAATCACCCAAAGCAGAAGCATCCAGGAGAGGGACGAGTGGCCAGTGCTCGTGTTGCCTTTGGGGGCTGGTTAGTTTCCTCTCAGGGGCTTTGCATAAGCTGCCAGCAGAATACACATCTCCCTGCCACTGGGAGGCCACAGCAAGTCCCCACAAGACCCACTGAAAGCTGAAGGTTGTTAGTTTTAGGTTCCCGCCAGCAAAGCCTGTCAGGCTGGGGGCTTGTGCTGCCGTGTGCTGCTGCTGGTATCAAAGATGATGATCCGGGAAAAGGGCCAAAAGGGGAGTGAGGTCAGCGACAGGGACAACCAGGAACGCTGCCCACAGAGCCATGGAAGGAACTTAGAGAAGCGCCCACAGCCCTCAGGCTGGCCCCTTTCTGAAATCTGCAACCCAAGGCCCCGCGTGAGCTGCGGCCTCCTCACGTAGCCCTGCCTGGCCTGCTGGGGTCCCGTCCTCACAACCCTTGCAATAACTTGAACTGACTGAAGCTTTGGCTCATTCCAAGCAAAATGCCAAGGAGCTGGGTCTTACACAAATTCCCCTTGACCTTCACTGGCCACTCACACTTCCAACTCGGGTTGTCTACTCTGCTTGGGCAGACAGTAGACGCTGGCTCTAGACCATCTGCCCCCTTCCTTTGTCTCCCTCCCATCCCATGAAAAATGCAAACCTTCTGTGTTGAGTACAGGCCTGTCAATCAAAGGGCAACTCACAGACAAAAAAATCATCATCATGGGTGGCTTCAGGACTGTGCGGCTGCCAGAGCTGCCTGAGTCACCAGGGATGGTAGACTTCCCCTCGGGTGAGGGCAGGCTGCTGCCTGGGCTCCTGTTCTGGAACAGTGGGTGGGCTGCCTTCATGCTGGGCTTGGACACATCATCTGTTTCACTGATTCCTCATCACCATCCTGAGAGGTGCAAGCTGTTATCCCCACTGCACAGATCGGCAAATGGAAGCTCCGAAAAGTCACATGACTTTCCCAATGCCACCCTCCTTACCAGGTATAGAGTAAGGATTTAGGTGTGAGTTTGAACCCAGCACTCTTCTCTTCTAAGCATTAAGCCACAGAGCCCCTGCCAGGAAGCTCTCCATCAATGGTAGTAGCTACTAATGCTACAGGGCACACAATCTAATAAGGGGACAAAATATTTGAAACTAGTACTTACCTGGAGAATCTCATTGTCAGAAGGCCACCTGCAGGGGCCGGTACAGGTCTTGAATCTCCCTGTGACTCCCCGAGGAGCCAGCACCTGGAGCCTGCTGCCACCTCCAGGGTGGGACAGATTTCCACCCTTGGGCTCAGGTGGCCCCTCCTTGCTTCTACCCTGCCAGGACTTCCAGCTGGCATCTCCTTCACCCCATCTCACTCCCACTCCTTCATGCCCACGTCATTCACACCTCTCTTCCCTCCCCTTTGGCCTCCTTGCTAGGCACATGTGTGTTTCTGGACCCTGTCTCCATTCTGGTTCTGTACAAGGCAAGTCTAGATGTCAGGCACTAGTTATTGCTGCCAAGGGGCTTCTCAGAGACTGGAAGTGCCAAGTACAGGCTTCTTTGCCTCAGGACTATGTCTGCAATGCCATCTGTTGAACTTTGCTCCCAGAGGTTCGATTCTGTGAACTACATCAGGTCCCAGGAACTTGCATCTAGACAGTCTCCCCAGGAGACTCTGATGCTGGCAGTCTGGGCACTGCCCTTGGAGGAGCTCTGAATGTCACCAATGCAGAACGAATAGAAGCTTTTCAAATGAAAAAGGAGGTGGAAAAAACCACTTAGAGATGTGGGGGGCTGGGCAGGGATGTGGGGTGTGGGCTAGTGCTGGGAACAATTGTATATGGAGTTTCGACTGGAAGCTGGTTGTTTTAGATATCACATCACCTTTGGGCTTCAAAACAGACTTGCAAGATAAACCTCATTAGCTCTTTTCAAAAAAGAGGGAAATGGAGGCAAGAAACATACCACATTTTTGTGGGCTATCAGTGAAATTCCAGAATTTGAGGCTATGTCTGCCTGATTCTGGAAGCTTTCACAACCTACCTTGCTCTGCTGATGACTGAGCAGGTACCAGCTGCCAGCTGTCTTCATACAAGGCCAGGCATGGAGTCGGTGTTCAAAGCATACCTGTTAGATGAACAAAGAATGAATGAATGAATAAATGAGAGAACAAACCTGTTTTAAGATCATGGAAACTAGCCCAAGAGGTTCCCTCTATGACCTCATGCCCAAACGTCCCCTCCCATAGTTGCTTTAATCTGAAAGTTGACCCCGGCTAAATGTGCCCAGTTGATAAGGCTGTGCAGCTCACCTGCGCCTGTTATCAGCAACCTGAGTCCAAACAGGAAGCCAGGGCTAAGATAAGGCCGAGGAAGGCAATGCCTGGAATCTTTACCAGGCTGGAATTAGCCATTTAATTTGATGCCACAAATATCTATTGAGTAGCTCCTAAGTGCCATGTTCTGTGCTAGGCTCTGAGGATAGGGCAGGAAAACAGACAGTCCCTGCCCTTGAATGGCTTATAATCTACTGGGGAAGGAAGGCAGATGTCAAATGGGATGAATGATATGGAAAGGGAAGCCAGGTGGTTACAGCAAACCTCTCTGGGGACAGGCCTGTAGGCTGGGACCTGAGAGGGGAAGAGCATCACAGATGCTAGAGGGAGCTGTCTACCTCCTTTCATGTCGTAGCCATCCCAGAGCCATTCTGCTTCTGGTCAGAAGGGCTTTCCACAAGCCCTGGCCCATGGCTGGAGCTGAGCTTTCTCTCTGCTCCTGCTCTCCCCTCCACCAGGGCTCTTCCTGCAGGGGCAATGGCCCAGCACCGCACTTCCCACTCAGGGCTCCTGCTTGCTCCCCCTTGCCCCTTCAGCCAGTGTCTGTTGAAGCTGTCTTGCATGGCCTGGCACTTGACTGCTATATTTTCAAGGATTTTGTGAGCTGGTGAAACAATGTTGTATAAAAATTAAGTTACACATGCGATTAAATAAAGGATACTGTATTATATTAAAGTTAAAGGTAATAAATACTCAAAACTCATAGCTTTCTAGCTACTTTACTCATTATTATTTATGTTTTGGAGGCTATTTATATCTATTGTGTCTGTATGTTGAAAATACTGTGTAACAATGGGACTGTGCCTCTCTTCCCAACTCTGTGTTCAGTGACATCACCTTGGTAGCTTAAAGTGCTATGATAGGAGTATTTATACCACAGGAATTGGTATAAGTTGGGTTTTTTTTGTTTATTGTCTCAATTTATTAATAATACAGTAATGGAGAAAATCTAATAATATAAACCTAAAAGTGTGTTATGTATATTACTAGCAGGTGCATTATGAATAGCACAAAAAATTGAGAAAATATCCTTCCAGTAATAGAAAACAATTATCTGATTCAGCAAAGAAGTTACTCTCATCAATGACAAATGAGTTAAATTCCAACATCCATCTTCACTAGTTCACTTTCATCTCATGAAAATACCAACCAGCCAACATTCCTTAGTTGTATATACATTCATTAGAATCACACTCATTTGTCAATGATGTGAAGGACTTTGCTGATTAAAATAGTAGTCAAATATTTACTCATAGTCTGATTTTGTAACACCATGGAGTTGCAAATTATAAAAAAAGATAGTAAAGTTTGTAAGAAATAAGAAGTCACACTGAAGTTATGATTTCATATAGGTGCATAGAATTTACAATTAAAATTAGTGGCTATTTTATTGTTTGAAAATTGTGTGCTGCAATCTTTTGTATCAGTTCAATTTAGAATAAACTTCTGTTCCTGTTCACACAGACTTTCCCCGGAGAGCTGTGTTGCCTTTGGCCCTCCTGTGCTGTTTTCCCTCCCACAGCCTGAAGGGTTTGGAGAATTCCACCCTCTGCTGTTGCTTGAAGATCTACTTCTCTGCCCAGGCAATTCTCAATCCCTTTCCAGTATTTCTCATCATGGATTCACAAGTTTTCATTTTAAAGGTAAGCCTTCCTTCCCCGCCACTCACAACATTTAGAAACAAAAGATACACAAATAATGGGGAAGCCCCACAGTCCCCAGCAAACCCGAAATATCTTGGATGCAGGCCTTTCATGGCCAGCCTTTGTCCCAGCCCTGAGGGACACTGGTGTGGAATTCTGCAGGGACGGCATAATGACCCAGACGCTATGCTGAGCCCCTGCATCTGCCATCGTTTTGCAGAGTTTTCATCAGGAAAGCCTGAGGGGAAGCCATCCCTCCTGTCATTTTTGTTTTAACGCCCAGCTAACTTCTTTCAGAGGTCTCTAGAACTCTCTATAAAAGACTGAGAGGATTCGGGGAGTCCAGGCTTGATGATGCCATCCCAGCATCTCTGAATCTGAGATGGGCGGCCCGCTACCTACCATTTTTATCATCCTGGGTACCACAGCCTTCTCCCATTGTGAGGTTAGATGACATAATTAGGTCTCACTGGAAATCACCAGAAGCACCTGAGTCTTATGTGGGTCAGGAGTCCATAGCAGCCCGAGTGAGACTGCTTTAGTTCAGTGACTCAGGGGAGCAGGAGGCTGATATGAGTTATAACAGTCACCAGGCACTTGACACTGTGCGCATTTAATGTGTCCCCACCTAATCTTTACTGAAACCCCATGAAGTGGATCCTGTGACTATCCTGGTAAACAGATGAGGACAACAGGGCTCAGAGAGCTACACAACGTGCCGGGGTCCCACAGCTGCAGAGCGGAGACCCCGGATACAAAACTGCTCTCCCCTCGTCCTGTGGACTTGCTGTAACCTCTGCCACCGTGGCCACAGGGCCCATCTGTGGGTACTGGGCCCAGATGAGGCAGACAACTTGAAAGGAATTTCTCTGTCAGGTATCAGAAACCATGATTAAAATGTGAACAAATGAAAGCAGATGAATCATTTTCTCTGACTTAGGTTTTCTGTCTGTGAACCAGGTTATTAAGAAGCCTAAATGAGAAAATCTGCACAAAGGGCCAGGCCCAGAGTCAGAGCTCTGTAGGGTCAATTGCAATTAATCATATATGAGATGACACTTATAAAACACATGGAAGAGAGCCTGGCACATACAATGTGTCCAATAAATAGTATTGCTTGTTTTTACTAATATTTTCTGTCCTTCATTAGAGCTACACTGAGCCTCCTGCTTCTTAAAATACCCATTTGCTGTGAAAGTTCCACTCGCTGCCCTGCTTTTCCAGGACACAGTGGGCAACAAATCAGGCATCTATGGACCAGTTTAGGGTCCTACCTGCAATTGTTAATATTATTTCTGGGGGAGGAAACATGTGTTCTGAGTTCTGAGTAACTGACTTATCCATTGTTTGAAAACAAAGCCCATTTGTAGCTATGGAAAACCTTTGATTTTCACACACTTTGTGAGGGGGCACAGAAACCTTTGTTCTAATAATACCTTACATGCTAACCTAAGATATAAATCAGATTTTGCAATGAATGGGGACGGTTGAGGTCAAGAGGGTAGAGGTGACAAGAGCCTGCCCTCCGTACCATGATTCTGCCAAACGTGGTATAGGAGACCCAGCTCACCCTCTTATGGACTTCTGAAGACTGGTTGGATTATTTGGTTTATTGAGAATGGCTGTGTCTCCACCACATGGGGATATTTAGGCCACATGAGATGTCTTTGATTGGAAGCACTGTCTTATTTTGAATATGCCTCCGTTAAGCAGAAGTAATCATTTCATCATGATGGCAGGTTAACGGGGTATCCGCTGAACCCAGAGATATTGCCGATATTGCTTTCCACGGATCAAACAAGGTAGATCAAAGTCGAGATTTTCAAAATTCTCTTGTAAAAGGAAATTTCTCCAGGCAAAACTTTGAGGTTTTCACAGGCCTGAAAACTAGCCTTGACTTTTTTCTGGCAACAATAACATAAAAACCCTTTTATTTGTGCCAAGCAGGAATATATTTCTTCTCAGAAACTATTTTATAGATTACATGTCATTTTCTACTTTCTTTTTCATTCTTGTAGTAATTATCTTCGTTTAAGAAAATGTCGGCACAGCATATAGTAGGCATGTTCTGGCAGATAAGCACGGCAAGCCAACCCAGAGAGGGAGCTAGGTTGTTTCTGTAACCCTTCTAAATCCAGGGAGCCACGTGGCTAAATCTCAGGGCAGCACTGTATTCAAGAATCCATAGTCTTTTGGCCAAGAAAGTATTTAAAAAGGAATTCCAAACCTTACTGGGGCTTCTCAAAAACTGTGACAGGAATCCAAATACAGAGTCTACAGCAACAATTTCTTCTTTGCTCACCAGCGCCCTGTGCCCACCCTGCCAGCTTTCTGGAGCGTCTCTCTCTCCATAGGTTTCCCAAAACTTTCTTCACAACAGCCCTGCACTGAGGTGGCAACTGTAGGATCATCTTGGGTGGGCAAAGGAAAGGTGGTGGGGAGGAAAGTCTGAATTGTCCCTCTTCATCTTAATAACTTTGGTGTGAGGTTTCCTGTGTGTTCTAAATTACATCCTTATTATTGCCTGCTTTTGTGCACAGTACAAACAGATTATACAACCTGATGTACTATAGCAGCCTGAACCAGATAGTTCAGTGGAACAATATTTAGTTCTCTTTAGTTTCTAGGAGCCCAAATAGCAAAGAAAATCTGATCCTGGTAACAATAATGGATTATAGCCACTCTTTTTCATAGGATAAATGAAAGACTCCAGGTATCTTTCTATTTGTACATGGTTACTCCACTGTAATTAAGGTCAAATAAAGTAGAGGCAGTTATTATGCTGAAAATGCAGTGAGAGGCTTCTGGTTTCCAGTCCAACATGTAAAGAGCTTAGAATAGACCACTCTATCCTATAAATGAGTGAAAAGATGAACAACCTGAAAAATCAATAGCTTTCCTCAGATCTGTCAGAAGAGTAAGGGCACAAGGCAAACAGCTGCCCACAAAATTGAAGAGACAGACAGGTGGATATAGAGAATCACAATTTACAGAGCAGAAACTCACAAGTAGAAACCTCTGTGGGAACAAGTACCAGGATAGGAAAGCCTAAAGTGTAACTGAAAATGTTGAGAGAAAAACCCACCAACCTAGAATTCTACACCCTGCAAAACTATCCTTCAAAATGGAAGGAGAAATAAAGACTTTTTCAGACAAACAAAAGTTGAGAGAATTTATTGTTACTATATTGTCTTCTTGTTTCCAGTGTTGCTATTTGGAAGACTGAAGCCATTCTAGTTCCTGATCCTTTGTAAGGAACCTTCTCCCCACCCCTCTGAAAGTCTATAGAACCCTCTGAAATCTTACAGGATCTTTCTTTTGCCCCCAGTATTCTGATATTTCACAATGGTCATCCTGGGTCTATTTTAAACTATGGTGTTGGGTACTTGCTAAATCATTACAGTGTAGAAATTCATATTCTTTGTTTATAAGAAATTTTCTTGAATTATTTTATTGACAATATTTTTGCTTTTATTTTCTTTTTGAAACTTGGATAATGAACTTTCTGAACTGGCCTTTAATTTGCTAATCTCATCTCTCCTATTTTCTATTCTCATGCTTTTTGCTCTACATTCTGTGAGATTTCCTCAAGTTTATTTTCCAACATTTCTATTGGGTTTCAGATATCTTGTATGTGTGTGTATTCATGTGTGTGTGAATATTCAAGAGCTCTTTTCATTCTCTGAATATTCCTTTTAATTTTCTCCTATTTTTCATCCATGGATTCACTATATTCTCATATCTCTGAGGATATTGATACTGCTTTTGAATCTTCTATTTGCAACTTCCCTATTTCCTCTAATTTTTGACTTTTTAAAACTGATACATAATTGTACATACTATGGGGTACAGTGTGATGTTTTAATATGTGCATACATTGTGTAAAAATCAAATCAGGGTTTTCAGCATATTCATCAGCACACATATTTATTATTTCTGTATGGTAAGAACATTCAAAATCCTCTCTTCTAGCTATTTTGAAATAGACAATATTGTTAACCATACTCACCCTACTGCGCAATACAATACCAGAACTTACTCCTATCTAACCATAGCTTGACTCATCTCTCACTATCCCCTCATTTTCCTTTCCTCCCCTCTCTAGCCTTCTTTAACCACTATTTTACTCTCTGCTTACAAGAAATCTACTTCATTTTCATGTTACAGGCTTTTCCCACTGTCTGGTGGTCCTGGTTTTCCTCTTGTAACTAAGAGTGGGACATTAAAAAGTTGATTAGACAACATGACTTTGAAATGGAGCAACAAACTCAAACGACTATACTGCCTGATTTCAAAACTTCCTCAAAAGTCACAGCAATCAACTGTGGCATTAGACATATTGACCAATGGAAAAGAACAGAGTCCAAAAATGGAGCCATATAGTCAATTTTTGACAAAGATGCCAGGGTAATTCAAAGCGGCAAAGCATAGTCCATTCAACAAATGGTGCTAGAATAACTCAATATCCATGTAGTTAAACAAAATGAACCTCAGCCCTTACTTGACTTCATATGCAAAAACTCTAGTGGATCATAGATGTAAGCATACAAGATAAAATTATAAAACTTCCATAATCATAAAAGGAAATCTTTTTGATCTTGGGAAGGTTTCTTAAATAGGACACCAAAAACATAAAATAAAAGATAAAAAAAAATTAATAAATCAATTTCCTCAAAATCATAAACTTTAGCTCTTCAAAAAACATCATTAAAAATGAAAATGCAAGATACACGCTGGAAGAAAATATTCAAAATAAATCTGACAAAAGATTTATATCAATAATACATAAAGAATTCTTTCAAGTCAGTAATAAAAAGACAAATGATTTAATTTAAAAATTGAGCAATGGCCTGAACAGACCTTTTGCAAAAGCAGGTGTATAAATTGCCAATAAGCTCAGTAGAAGGTCCTCAGATCATCAGTCACCAGAGAAAAGCAATTGAAAAGCACAATCACACATACACACAAAATACCACCTGAATGGTAGTTTTGGTCTAATTGTATGCCTTAAGATTTTGATTGTTTTAAGAAAACATCTATAGTGTTGACATAGGCCAGACACTGGGCTGAGGGCAAACATCATGTAATTCTCACAGTCACCAACCCAGGGGGACAAGCACTATTATTTTACCAATTTGACAGTTGAAACAGGTTCTGAGAGGTTGAGTCACTTGTCCACGGTTTTGTGACTTGGAAGGGCAATGCTGGCATTTGGGCCAGGATTCCAAAAGCACGTATGGAGAGGTGTCAGGCTCAGTATCTGCCTGGGTACCACCTGCCGCAACCTTTCCCTGAGGACTCCGTAGCTCTTCAGTGTCTGGGTTTTAGGAAGACACTCAGCAGCAAGGTGAGAGGGCGCCGAGAGCCCCCCATGGAGCAGCACTGGCCCATAGCATGGTGGGCCTTAGGCCCCACCTCCAAGGGCAGAGTCGAGGTGGGGAAAGGCCGCTGTCAATCCTGCAGCTACCTGCTGCCACGCTGGGGGTGGGTGTGTGGAGGAAGCCAGGGGGCTCCCTGGGCCCAGCATCCATGACTCCCAAGCAGGGGCTGATGGGGGATCTGGGCGCTGTGGGGAGAAGGCAGGTAGAGCACTGTTCTGGGAAAGATGTTGACTGGAAGCTCTGAGACTGGGAGTGAGGTTTGAAAACTACGGGCTTCTTGCAGAATGCTCAGGTCTTTTCTCTTGGTCCAATCACACTCCCTAGAGAAGGATGTTCCATCTCCGCCTGGAGGATATAGCTCGGTCTGCCATGATTCTAGGAACTGGTTACAGTTTGCATTCAGTTAGGTAAATGTTGGTTTAGCCCCCCTGGATGCCACCCCAGCCCTCACCTGTACCTGGTGACCCCTCACTTTCTGTGCTGTCCAGGCCTCTAGATTTCTGCCAGGGTGGTAGTGGTGCTGGTGATGGGTCAAGGGAGCAAACTATTTCTCGAACACCCACTGTTTGCACCTTCATTCCTACTTCCAGGGGTGCCTGACGCTGCCAGGCCTGGCGCCTTTGTGCCGTACACTGGGTTGCTTCCTGCCTTTTCCCACTGTGCCCTTAGGAGGCAGCTATCTCCAGACGGTTACTGCTGGCCCATCTGTTTCCAACATCCAGAATTTTGTTCCAGTTGCCCCTTTTCCCAGTCCATTTGTCCTTGTGCGTTAAAAAAAAATAATAATAAAAAAAAATGCAATCTCTTTACAATCCTTTTAGAGGTGTTTTGGAAGGGAGAGTAAGAAAATGTGTGTATTTGCTCTGCCATCTTAACTGAGAAGTTACCCTCTCCACTGTTGGTGACTCAGTAGCCACCTGGACATTGCCTTACCTCTCTGGACCCCATGTCCACTCGCTGCTTTTGTCTGGATGTCAATACGTGAAAGTAGGTCCTCAGTTAACCACGCACATGCAGTAGCTCTGGCTCCCTACCCCTCTCCCATCCGTGACCTCTGGGCCCTGGGATCCTCCCACCTCCGTCCCTTCCATCGTTGTCCTGTGTGTGTCTGTGCCGCAGGTTTTCTGCAGGTTTCCCCCCTTTTCCCTGTGTGAATCTGACCCATTCAGATGCTTTCAGGTATCTTTAAAAATTTCTCATCTGCTAATGACACTCTTTCTGATTTTTATCCAAACCACTTACAGTTGAATTATTATTCTAAAGTATTTCTCATGCTACATTTCATGAGATTTGAGGTGGAAGAGGGGATAGTTGCAAGTGCTCAGTCAGCCATCTTCTCCAATCCTGAATTTTAAAATATTTAGTCTTCCTCCTTGCTCTCTTCGGTGGTTAGGGGTGAGTTGGAAGTTATGTCAAATTTAGAAATGTCTTTGCCACAGCAAGGTTATTTACTCCTATTTTCTTCTAGTAATTTTGTAGGTTTTTAAAAAATATTTAAGTTTCTGGTTCATTTGAAATTTTACTTTGTGTTAAATGTAGAGAGATCTAGATTTTAAAAAACTGTTTAGCTTTTTGTTCAATCATTAGTTATTGACTAATTTTCTGATTTGAAATATATACTTTGTTAACATGTATAGCTTCGTAATGTTTTATTATATTAGGCTAAGTTCTTGATAATTATTTTAAAGTCTTTTTTTGGAAATTGATATAATTTTGTTCTATTAAATAAATTTTTGAATAGTTTGGGCAAATTTAAAAATATCATTTGAATCTGGTTGTGCTTGTATTATTTTTATAGATTCGTTTTATAATTTAATGAATTATAAGCCATACTTCAGCCTCTTCAATGGATCCAAGTTATCCAGCGGACTGAAATAATCGTTTACTTTACGATGTAATCAAATTGTCTCAACATCCCCAGTCACACCTGAGAGAAGTGCCAGCATGCTTCCAGGCTCTCTGGGGTGTCAGGGCAGCAGAGGGCTTTGGTGTTTATTTTTCCCAGAGTCAGTCCCATATTCCTGCTTCCACGGAATGCTTGATCTCTGCTCGGGCTCTGACCTCTGCACATCTGTCCTTTCTCCAGACCACAGCACTGCACTGGAAACCATCGGATCCTTTCACTGCCCCTAGCTCAAGGCTATGAGCATGCTAGATAGGCAACGTCAGGGTAGTGTTACGAGTCTGAGCCCTGGAGTCAGAATGTCTGGGTCAGCAGCTAGACTTCACATTCGCAAGCCGTGCATTTGGTCAAGATTACCTTTTCTTTGCCTTAATTTCTCAACTGTAAGGTAAGAAAATAGGATTTTTGTGATAATTAAATGTAGAAAGTAAAGTGCTGAGTGCGTTGTTTGGAAAGTAGGTCCTCAATTAAATGACTTTAAGCTGAATATTGGAAGTATTTATTCTTAAAAGTTCCACCACTTCTCCTTTTATAGAAATGAAGTCCTCCCTCTCCTTTAAAGTTCCAGCTGGGCCCCCGACTTTGATCTCTTCCCTTTTCCTCCCTGGTTGATTCAACTTGAGTCCAATCTGGATAGTCCATTATAGTCCCCAATGCATGGAACTTTTCTCTCCAAAATTAAACCATCTCATCAAAGTGTTTGGCTAAACAAAACCAGTTTGGGCTCCCAAGAACATAACTTCTCTTTAGACTAGAATTCTATGGTCAAGTCTTACAAGTCAAAAACCACAATCATTTTTCTCCACTTTATAAAGTTAAGACAGCAAATCTAAAAGGTATATCTTGCCATTTTCTCAAATCTCCATCAGTAAAATTTGTTGTTTTCTCTAAAAAGCATGTCTTATTTGTTATACATAAATTATTATGAAAGAATTTTTTATTCATTTTTTTTAACTAAAAATTTCTCATCTGCTGATACTCTTTCTGATTTCTATTCAAACCACTTCTGGTTGTATTATTATTTTAAAGTATTTCCCCCTCTACATTTCATGAGATTTGAGATGGAACAGGGGATAGTTGCAAGTGTTTATGGTTAGGATGAAAATTATTACTTTTCTGTATATTTTGGGGGGAACTAGAGTCATATTCCCACTGTCTCATATAGTTTATAATACTTTTCTCAGTTTGTCTTGTGTTTTCTCTGGTATATAATCATTTTATATGCAAATAATGACAATTTCGCTTGCTCCTTTCCAATATGTATACCTCTGTTTTTGGTTTATTGTGCTGGCTTGGACAGATGTTATGTATCAGTGATGATAATGACCACTGGAGTTAATGGATTCTCCTTGTCAGTATTTTGTTTAGGATTTATAAATGAAACGAGGTCTGCCATTTTCTTTTTAGTATAATTTTGATAGATTTTTGCTATAGGGCTTTGGTGGCTTTATAAAAACAATAAAAGCAACAAGAAGCAGCCCTTTGTCTTTGAGTTCTGAAACAATTTAAATAATTCCTGTGTTATTTATTCTTTGATGGTTTGATCTGTGTAGACTGTCTGCCCTGGCCCCTTTCAGAAGCTTCTTCACAATCATCTCAAAGCTTATTTTAGATCTATTTCTTCTTGATATAAAAAATTAATTTTTATAGAGTAATTATCCTTATCATCTAAGTTTTAAAATTTATTGCACAGTTTTACAAAGTATTCTTTATTCCTTTAAAAATTTTCCCCTGCATCTGTGGTTATCTGTTCTTTCTTTTGACTAATTTTGGATATCTACATTTTCCCACTGTTTTTCACCTTTGATTTAAGGTAGGTTATGACTTGTCTTTCTCATTTTATTTTTCCAAATTTCTTGAATTAATCAATTCTACTGCTTTTAGGTTTTCCAGTTTAAGTTCAATTTCATATTTTATATTTATTCTTTCCTTCTGCTTTAGGTTTGATATATTTTCCTAAATTCCTGGGTTTTGTGATTAATTTGTTTTCTTTCACTTTTTTTGTTGTTGTTGAGTAATGAGAGAATTTAAAGCTCTATGTTCTTCCCCAAGGACAACTTTAGCTTCAACATACACTTTCTAGTGTGTCGTATTCTTGTTACTGTTGTTTTGGTAAAATAGGCATTTGAGAGAGAGTGGTATCAGTATATTTCCCAAGTGGTTGGGAAGTTACTGTTTGTTTGTTTTTCCTTATTTAATTCTAGCTTTATTGCATTTTGGTTAGAAAATGTGATCATTCCTCTATGTTTTAAGATATGTTGGGGTTGCCTTTACAGAATGATGTGGACTATATGCCAAGTATATACTTAAATTTGTAATTTTTTCATGAGTACTTGAAAAGAACATACATTCTTTGTGATAACGTAACGCATGTGATATGCACGTATCACATCTGTCAAAAACTGACTGAGATGAAGAATTTGACTTTTTTTTCCTCACCTGCCCCTTTCATTGGTCTGGAGTTTACCATACAAGGGAACCTTCCCAAGGTGTGGTCCCTGGACCAACAACATGAGCGTCACCTTAGACCTCATTAGAAATGCAAAATCTTGGGCCCTACCCCAGACCTATGAATCAGAAACTGGGACTGGCACTCATAGTCAGTATTTTAGGAAGCCCTCCAGGTGATTAAGATGCACCTTCATGCTTGAGAACCACTGGGAGAAGGTCTGAGATGTGGATCTCACTTTGTCTTCCTTTGTCCTGAGGAATTATTCTTTTTTCCTCACTGGTTTGTGATGCCTCCTTTTTCAATAACAACACTCTCTCTGAACTATTTACTCTGCACCACTAACCTGTGCCATACTGTTTTAATTTTTATGCTAATAATCAAAAACAGGCAAATTAGAATTAGGTATTATGTTTTCCCTACTATACCTGCAAAGATTTAAAACCAATAATTTTTAGTGTTGACAAGAATGTAACGAATGAGACTTTCCTACAGTGGTGGTGAGTACATAAAGTGGGACTAATCGGAAAAATAAAAAGGAATAACAGAGAAGCAAAAGAAGACACAATGGGGCGATAAAGCAGTTTAAGTGGCAAAATTTCCTAAGGGAAGTGACTGTTGAAGAGAAGGGCAATTATTGACTCACAAACCCCAAACGTCCCTTGGAGAGCTGGCCTGAGGTGGGGCTCAGTTCACCCCCCTTACATCCCACTCCCTGTCTGTCAGCTCACTACTCAGCTTCTGAGCAGCAGCCCTGGGCCTCACAGCATTCTCACCTCCCTTTCGCTACACAGCCATAGGAATTTCCCAGAATTCCAGTAAAAATCTCATCTCATCTCACTGGCTCTGTTTGAGTCACATGCTCATCTCTCAACCAATCAGAGTAGCCAGGAAAATGTAACATAGTGATTGGCCTAAGCCTGGATCCTTCAACCTCCAAAATCAGGGGCCAAGTCAGCTTCCCCAGAACCATATGGACCCACAGTATGTAAAGGATTCCCTGATGGGAAATACTGGGTGGTAATAAACAAAAGATGCTCTTTGTCTCCGAAAGGAGGTGGCTACACAACTCTGCCAGCTGTTTTGGGTGCATCTCTGTAGCATCCGCCTCACTCCTGGAGTATAGTTTTAGGGACTTTTGTTTTTATGTCCTCAGTAGAGGTGATCGTGTCGGTTTTTGCTGAACCAACATTGGGCCAGGCAGCAAATGACTGGTACTAAGAACGCTGGGATCACAGGCTTTTGTTAACATCTTCAGTCTGTGCTTTCAACATTTCACATAAAAAGGATTTCATAAAATGCCCTTTCTAAACTTTCCAAGACTATTAATTGTCTGAGTATCTGCTGGGAGGCATACAGAAGACATCCCTGAGGCAGGGGTCAGGGGATGGAGGCTCTGCATTTCTATGTAACTCCAGCGTGCTTGGATGTCTTTTATGACCTTCCCCAAAGACGAAAGACTGGTATAACAATACTCTTGCCAATTTGCTGAAAAGTTTATCGTTCTTAGTTTCACAGCTGGAGATCCTCACCCCAATTCAATATCCTTGGGCTAAACAGAGTCCTCGTTTTATGGCTGTTGTGAAACTATATTCTTGGAACAGTGACAATCTCTGACTCCTCTAAAATCATGGCCAGTTGAACCCACTTGTGTCATTGGGATTGGCAATAAAAACAGGTTGGATACTAAGCAGATACACCTGCCTCTCAGGCGGATCTCAGGTGCCAAAAGATGGACTGATTGTGTGGACCAAGCTCTATGCACTGGGAGGAAAGGAATGAAATGGAATTCCCTTGGGAAGCTGGAGCCTCGGGGAGTACAGATCAAATAAACCTCCCTCCTGAGCAGGCTGCCCTTCCATCTGACAGTGAAATGATCCAGTTTTCTTGGGCTATGAATATGGAAAGACCTTTAGCCCCACCTTAGCCAACACATGAAAAAGTATATGATCCTGGCAGGATCCCATCTTCAAGAAGGCACTAGACCAGACCATCTGCACCTTGTCATTTCTTTAATAAAATGGGATTTCATTACCTTGGCCCTGTCAGCATTTTTATCTTGCCTGCTGCCTCTTTTCTCTCTTTCCCATACTTGGAGTGGGTTGCCGGGTTACCTGAAAAGAGACCATTTTTCAAAGCAAAATATTACATTACTATTACTAATATCACTATTTATACCATATCCTTTCTGTGCCAGTCACTGTGCTAAGTGTCCATTATGGACATTATCTTGAATCTTCACAACAACTTCCTAAGGTAAATATTGTTTTTCATTATAGCAAATTATCATTTTAAATGAGAAGTAAACTAAGGCTTTGTCTCATTAGATAATTTGCCCAAAGTCATACATTTCTATGTGATGAAACTGGAGTTTGGAAACTAAACCTGCTAATGCCAAATACTTTGTTTCTTCTCATCATTATCAAGAGCTGATTAAAATGCATTTTCATTAAATTGATCTTAGCAAAATTTAGCCAGATTCCATTTTGATTCCCAAATTAAGCAGCCACAGTGGCATTGCAAGCCTAAACCTTGAGGTGACTGGTCATCAGAGGGAGTCCAGCCTTCTTAAATGCATAACCATTCCATAGCAGCCTTCCAGAACCTTCCATGGGGATCCCTGCCTAGAAGTCTTGGCAAAAACACCTGAAAAAACCCTGCCCCCTCACCATCAGAGCATCTGTGCACCAGCTTTGTCCTGCCTCTCTCTTGGCTCAGCAGGGCTGACAGCAGCAAGTGGAATTCGGCTCTGGCCCTGTGGCCTGACCCCACTGTCTGCACTGATCAGGTGTGAGATGCCAATACTTGCTTTGCAATTTTACATTTTGATGCCAGTGCAACCTTTGAACCAGCTGTTTAAAAAACAAATAGCTTTAAAAACCGCTGTGAAGTGATGACCTTATGCAGGTTGGATTTCTGCCCTTGGAGGGGTTGGGGTGGCTTCCCTCAGACAAGCTGCAGCTTGTGAGCCACTCAGGGGCTGGCTCTTGGTCAGTAGCTATCGAAGTGCAATGAGAGCCACATCTGTTTGTAAATCTTCAAGAGAAATTGAGTTGGGTTTTCTTTTCTTCAAATGTGGAGAAGAAAAGAACATACTTCCAGTTGGTGAAGCTCTGTGTTTATAACCAGGGTATCTTCTCTCTTACTAACAAATGCTTTTCAAGAAGCATTCCAAAGATGGCTAGACTGGATTTTGGAATTAGAATATGAAAATACTGCCTCCAGAGAAAATTTCATAAAGCCCTGATCACTCTGTGGACTTCTTTTGGCTCTGTCCCTGCTTTACACATGGGACACAGTCTTAAACTCGAGTTCCTCAAAAGGCCAGGAGGGACCCCTTTGTTCCCTCAGTTACACCCCGCTAGAGGTTGAGCATGGATGATGCTCTGTCACTTCAGTGAAACACTTGGAAGGGAGGGAGGGAGAAGAGGAGGGAGGGGAGGGAAGGGAGGGAGGGAAAAGAGGAGGGAGGGGAGGGAAGGGGGAAGGGAGGGAGGGAGGGAGGGAGGGAGGGAGGGAGGGAGGGAGGAAGGAAGGAAGGAAAGGAAGGAAGGAAGGAAGGAAGGAAGGAAGGAAGGAAGGAAGGAAGGAAGGAAGGAAGGAAGGAAGGAAGGAAGGAAGGAACTTGATTATCATTGGCAATTTTCCTACAGTGACTGAGTTTTCCAAATTCATTCAATGGCTAGTTCACTCATTCAGCTAACAATTTTTTGAGTCCCTACTGTGTGCCAAATGTTGCCATAGGTTCTGCGGATTTGAAGATATAAGATCCATTAGAGCAAGTCCCTGCTCTCCTTAGGGATATACGCTAAGACCCCCAGTGGATGCCTGAAACCAGAGAGAATATCGAACCCTATATATACTATGTTTTTTCCCATACATCCATGCCTATGATAAAGTTGCATTTATAAATTAGGCACAGTAAGAGATTAACAACAATAAAATAAAACAATTATAATAATATACTTAATGTTATGTGAATCTGATTTCTTTCTCAAAATATCTTACTATACTATGCTCAACTGTTCTTCTTGTGAAATGATAACATGCTTATGTGATGAGGTGACAGAATGGGACAGCATAAGATTTCATCACACTACTCAGAATAGCACACAATTTAAAGCTTATGAATTGTTTACTTCTGGAATTTTTCATTTAATATTTTCAGAGTGTGGTTGACTGCAGGTAACTGAAACCTCAGAAAACAAACTTGCGGATAAGGGGACTATTGTCCCCGTACTCAAGTCCACAGTCCAGCAGAGGAGGAAGAGAAGAACATGACTGGAAGCCTGGGTGCTAAGGCTTATGATGGAGGATGCTCAGGGCACAGGGGGACCAGCCTGGGGTACTAAAGAAAGTGATGACTGAAGATGGCTTCCTGGGGGAGGTAGCCTCACCCTGAGCTTTGAAGGACATAAGGGATTAGTGGAGAAGTGAGAAGGGGCTGCGAGGTGCAGGCCAGGGCGAGATTCTGGCTGCTGACAGCACTGGGAGGTATTTGTGAGTGGTCTACTCATAGCTGTGCAGTTCATCCGAAGAGATCTGTGGGCATGGAAGTTCTTCCCTTGATATTATCACTGTCTATTTCACATTTCCCAAAGCAAATGCATACCCATGCAAGCATCGCACAGAAGCTTCAGACAGCTCATTATTCAAAGATTACAGTAATTCCATTCGTATCACGCAGGCAGAAGTGTCCATGTCCAAGCATTCTTTCTTAATCCTCTCTGGATGAAGGAGAAAAGAAGTGTTGTCCTGCTACCAAACAATATTCATAATCCCAAGAGGTTCCACACAGTAATACCTACTGGGTTCTAACAACTCAGTTCAGCTTTTTATGTACAATACCCAGGGGCTAGCACAGTGTCAGGCACTAATTGTTCCCTATTTGCTTAATATATGAATGATTTGTAACACTCACAACTTAGAAGTTATATAGTATTATTTTCAGTCTATAAATGGGAAGTCTAAGGTTCAGAAAGAATAAGTTGCCCATGGTCCTTCAGCTGATAAATGGTAGATTTTGGTTTCTAACATAGGTCTTCCTGGCCCCATAGTTCATGCTCTCTTAATAAAACCATGAAGTCATCCACCTGCCAACTATCTCAATATAGTTCAGAATGTCAAAAAAAAAAAAAAAAAAAGTCACCCTTTGCATGGACACCTTGGTGCTAGGTAATGAGGCTGTGGAATTGGGTAACTCTTTGTAACCTCTTTGCTCAGCTGAGGCTTCAGGTAGCCATGCTTTCCACTGCTTAGAAAGGTCCTGCCCAGGAGGGAATGATACCACCATCCACAGAGAAACAGGGAGGAAGGTGGATCAGGCATATGCCAGAGAAAGTGCCAGGTAGTATAAAGTCCCTGCAGCTCTTCCTGTGTGTTTGCACATCAGCCCAGTCCCCAAGCCAGACCCCTGAACCCACACATTTTCCAGTTTGCTATATTGCATAGTACTCAAGAGTGTGGACACTGCTGCCAGTCTGCCTGGGTTCAAATCCCGGCTGTGGCTGAAGTGCTGTATGACTTGAAGGCAAGCTGTCATTGTGCCTCAGTTTCTTAAGATGGGAATGATGATAGGCTTACCTCACAGAGCTGTTGTGAAGGTGGAATATACCAATATAGGCAAGGACTTAGAACAGTGCCTGGCACGTAATTGTGTGGTGGTTAGTTTTTGTTGAGGTTAGTTTGAATGGTGACTCCATCATTTGCACTGGAGAGATTCCTGATCAATAGAGTGGGTTTCCTGGGTAGCCTCTCCATTGGATTTGATGGGAAGATGAAGCTATCTCCCATGGTATAGGCCTCTACTTCACCCTAAGCCAGTAAGCTGCTTCCTAATTGCCAAAGTGACCAAACAAGAAAAGCCAAACCAAATACCTTCTGCTGGGATTCCCCTAACTGTGACTGGCCCGTGAGAGTGTCACCTGTAGTGCCATCATAATTAGAGGACTTGGTGCATGAAGGCGATGCTCATAGACATCAGTGCTCACCTCCAGATGTGGGGTGAGATCTTCCTGAGTCCAGGCCCTGGCAGTGGGGACCAGATTGCTGCATGGGTTTATGGAATAGAGCATGGATGACTGGCTTCTAGATTCTTTCTGTGCAGAGGCCACCTCCCTGCATCCAGCCAGTACTGTGTCCCTGAAGGGAGAGACAAAGCCACTGACAGTGGCTTCAGACATGCAGTGGAACCGAGCAGCCCCCTCTCCCTCCAGGTCTGCCACCCGGCTGGGTCTGCTCAGCCAACGACAGTTTACCGTTTGGCTGACTGCAGTCTGCCTCTGCGTGGGGGGGAGGGGGGAATAAAGCCGAGCATTGTGCTGGGCTTGCAACATCTTCCCCTTTCCAGAGTTCCTGATGTGTTTGTTACCCAGGATCTGGTCTGAATGTTCTCTTTGTCGCAGCCCTTCACATGCTGAGGTGGGTTTGCCTTCTCCGTGGCAGTCCTGGGTTAAATAAATACATTAAGGCAACATACGTGGCTTGACACTGGAGCCAGCCTCAATAACTCAAATAACTCATGTGGCCAAAGACGGAGCCGCTGCGGTTTTGAATTCTTTTAAAGATGGATTTCTTTGTTCAGCTCCTTTGCTCGAGGAGGACGCAGACTGCAAAGCGGCAGCCACGCTCCAATTCGGCCGGCCGTTTTTCTCCAGCAAGTCTGTTTGAGAGTTTCTAAATCCTGCGCAGATGAACACAGAACATGACCTTCAGCCAGTTACAGGATACCATGCTGACATCACCACATAAATATACACTCCAGAGAAAGCCGTGATTAAGCTCAGCGCTGATTTTTATCACTTTTCCAGCGCACCAACAGTCTGCTGGTTCGTCATGCACCTTTACAAAACCCATAATATTTAGAAATGTGCTGCGTTAGCCCCAGAGGCTTAAATAAACTAAAGCCTGTGAAGGTTTTAATGTAACGAATTACCTTCATGTGTGAAATTATGACTCCATGATACTCAATAAGGCCAACATTGTACACGTGCTGTTCTTTTGGGATCTTATGTACATTTCTCCTTCTGAAATATCTGTTTCAGATAGTTTTTTAAGAGCAGAAAATATTTCTATTTCGATACCATTGTATATGTCCAAGACACTAAAGAATGGG